GGCCAGGCAGGCAGTATAGGCGGGAAAGCCAGACAGGAAGTAGAGGTGGAGCAAAGAGACTGGGAGTATTCTGGAAAACAGGAAGCTCCCTCTCGACTCCTGCGCAAACCACCAGAGAAGCAACATGTGAGCTGACAGCTGGAAAAGGTACCAAGCCATATGGCTAACATAGATAATGATAATGGATTAATATAAGTTACAAGGACTAATAAGAAGCCTGACCTAATGGGCCAATCAGTTTATAATCTTATGGAGTCCTGTGTGTGATTTTCCTTGGGGTATGCCAGCTGTGGGGTACCCGGCGGGACAGATACCCCAACAAGCCGGCCCCCTCATGTTGCATGCTTCACCCTGTAAAAAGTGTGCAGTCGAGCAAGCCGCGCTGTAACTTTCTCCTAACTGTATGTGGAGCGAGTTTGACAAAGGAATGCTGATGGCACCTGCTCAGCGCAGCCACAGAGCCATCCTTGGGACAGATGGACAAGTTCGCCTGTCCACCTTTGGCTGTGATTAAACACCAGGACCTACAGCCTGCGCTGCCAGCGGCAAACACAAGCAGGAGTTACAGAAGGAAGAGTTTGTTTGGCTTATGGCTCCAGAGAGATGAGAGGGTTGTGGTAGGGAGGCGCGGCAGCAAGAAGCTGAGAGCACACGTCTATCTTTGAAGGAGAGAGGGCAAACCGGAAGCTGAGGAAGAGTTCTAAATATTCTGGATATGCCTCAAGTGATGTACTTCCTTTAGCATGACTTGCCTTCTAAACCCTTAAACAGTGCCACCAGCTGGTGACCAAGCTTTTAAATGCCTGAGACCATGGGGGACATTTCTCATTCAGACTAACAGTTAGCTGTATGGAATTTGGGCTTGGCCAAGGTCTCCACCATACCCTGATGAGAGTAGTTTTTGAAGGTGGTGCTGCACGCCTTTAATCCCAGAAGGCAGAGGTTCAAGGTCAGCCTGGTACAAAGCTAATTCTAGGGTAGCCAGAACTGTTATACAGAGAAACCCTGTCTCTGTGCCTACACTGTTTCTACCAAGAATAAGGTTGATAATGGACACCTGCTTTCCTCTTGGGAGTGTGGGATTTGTGATTGTGTCTGGAGAGTATGCATATCTGACCAGCTTGAATAAAGGTCCTAGGTCGTGACTCTCCAAGGGTCTTCCCTGGCCTATAGCATCTCTGTGGCCAAAGGGATGATATGTGTGTTTGATAAGGCCAATTGGAAGGGACCCCTCTGTTCCTTACCCATTGCTGGTTTCCCTTCCTATCCTTATTGCTGTAGTCAGTTGGAGCTATAGATGTAACTGAAGACTGAGTTCTGCCCAGCCTCCCTGTGAGTCAGTGGACTGAGGCTGCTTGTGAAGGCTCAGGTCAGTCAATGTTGCTAGGGTATTCTGTCTGCCCACCTTAATACTGGCAAAACATACAAATGTTTTATCACAAGTTCTTGATTTTAGCAACTTGTCTTGACTTGGAGTCTGGTTTATTATAGAGTATGTCTCCTTGCAGATTTCTAAATAGTGATTTAGCATTTACACCTGCAAAATGGAGAGAAGAGCCTGCCCAGGGGTTGGATGGCTTTAGCTGGGGACGTCTACAACTGATGTTTCTTTAGTTTTCTATAATTTGACTGGTAAGCAAATAGATTTACATAACTTCTTTTGTACTCCTATCCTTGGAGTTTAGTTAAATAATCTGATTTCCTAGTTATGCTTTGATTCTGAAGCTTATCTGCAAATAAATGGTTCTAGAAACTTCACATTTTGGCCCTCTGGACTCTGTGCACACCCATTTCCAAGGCAGCAGCGTTTCACCTAGATCCAGTGTAAGGCTCAGAACCTGAAATCAGATTGTTGTAGAGTCCAGGTTGTGTTAGTCTCCTGCTTAACATTTTTAAATCATGAAATAGGAAGTCAGTAAGCATGGTGAGCATCGACTTCTTTAAGCGGCTTCTCCTAAAGGAATTCAGATAGTTCTAAAGAGCTTGAGACTGGAGAGATGGCTCAGGGATTAAGAACACTGGCTGCTCTTCCAGAGGATTGGGGTTTGGTTCCCAGCACCCACATGGTAGCTCACAACCGTCCGTAACTACGGTGCCATCCAGCATCCTCTTCTGGCCTCCATAGACACTGCATGCACCTGGTGCACGGACATAGATGTATAAACAAAAACCAAAGGTTAAGAACAACAACAAAATGGCAGCGTTTATAAGTTTCGTTTTATTTACTTGTGCTGAGGATTGAACGAACATCAGGCCCCACATGTGCTAAGTATTATTCTACCACTAAGCTGCATTCATAACCCCAGAATTTTTATCATTTCTCAGCCTTTTGGCTATAGTCAAGAGCAATGGTTTCGAATGCTCGGCTTTCATTAGCATGTTTTTTGCAGATTATTGGCGACTTTTCTTGTTGCGAAGAGCACATGCCAGATAAGAAGCTCATTAAAAAGAGTTTATTTTAGTTCGAGGAGAGATAGCCCAGGGAAGATGCAGGCCTGGGAGGTGGCTGGTCGTGTTGTGTCTGCAGTCAGAAGGGAGAGAGGGGGAGAAAAGAGGGAGGAAGGAGGGGAGGAGGAGAGAGAGAACTAGTAGTGATGGCCCAACTGACTTTCTCATTATTCAGTCTGGGGCCCCCAGTTCATGTGGTGGGGTCCTCAGAGTGGGTCTTGCCTGCCCAGTTCTGGAAGTATTGTCACAGACACACCCAGAATCTTGTTTCCAAGTTGATTCAAAAAGCAGTAAGGTAGCCGGGCGGTGGTGGCGCACGCCTTTAATCCCAGCACTTGGAAGGCAGAGGCAGGGGGATCTCTGTGAGTTCGAGGCCAGCCTGGTCTACAAGAGCTAGTTCCAGGACAGGCACCAAAAACTACAGAGAAACCCTGTCTCAAAAATCAAAAAAAAAAAAAAAGCAGTACGGTTGACAATGGAGAGTAACCGTAGCGGCTGACGTCAAATAGTACTCGGCTATTGCTTCTTCTAGGGGTGATGAGGAACACTGAGTGACATTGTGACAGCCACCATTCTTAGTGCTTTCCATGAGTTACCTCCTAGTTCTCATGTTAACTTTATTGAGTAGCTACTCTACGGTTGGTTCCACTTCAGCATTAGAGGGTTATGTCACTTTCCCCAAAATTAAGTGATTTGCTAGAATATGACAGGATAGAATTTGGTGAGTCTTCCTTAAGTCTTTCTTATTTACCAGCTAAACCATTAGGCAGCAGCCTTCCCTGAGCCACGCACATTAACATCTCTCTGGTACCTCAGGAACCTGGGTAAACATAAACATACATAAACATATACATTCATTCTTTAGTGTGGCAGTGGTCTAATTCCTTGCTGCTGAGTGCCCAGAATCATATTTGGAAGTTTTGAAAAATTTTGAAAAATGGAGAACATCACCCCCAGGTCCTGTTATTTCTGAGGCAAAGCCAAAATATGCTAGCGTGGCCTTGCTGGGTTCCCGAGGATCCAGACTCTCTCTTTCTGGCCAAGTTCACTTGCCTACTGCTTGTAAACATAATAATGGCTCCTGCGCACACCATCCCTTCTGTCTCAGATGAGCCCACTCTTAGCCAACCGGATTCCTCTTCATCCTTCAGATCTGAGTTGAGAAAGCCTTTCTTCCCAGAAGACTTCTGAACTTTCCAGACAAGTTGTGTCCTTGGCTTTGTGTTGCTATAGCCCTGAACTTTTGATTACTCAACCTCTATATCTCTCTGTGTGACAGGGAATTATTTAGTTTCTCAACTATTGTGTAGACTCTCTGAAACCGGGGACTAAGGCTGGCTTGTTCACCTGGCCATAATGGGCAGATGCCTAAATGAAGGTTAAATACCTTTTCAAGATGTGAGATAGTCGGGGGTCATTTAATTCTCAAGGTACACACACCATACACTGCTTACTGTCCTAGACAGCGCACTGTGTACAAGTGATGATCAGGGATCCTTAGTCAATCAGAGGAGTGAAATTCCTTTAGGATTTTTATGGAGCAGGTACCAACACATTCATGAGTTTAAATTCTTAGGTGTCAGCAGGCAGACTCGTTTCTCAAGGTCCAGACCCTTACAATCTGAAGACCTGAGTTTTCAATAACGCATGAGCCTAAACCTTACATGGCTAAGGACTCTAAAACGTTTGGGAATTAATTCACATCCTTTAGATCTTGCCAGTAATTATAAACACAGCCAGTTTTGGTCATGGCAAAACTTTTTCTTAAATATTCTATGAACTTTTTTGAATTTTTCTTTTAAATGTATCTTTAGAAAGAACACTGTTTTTAGAGATGCTAAAGATTTCACATGATGCTTGAGATGGTCAGACCTAAAAACATAATGCAAGCAAGCAATGCTAAACAAATTTAGCGGTCTGTATTTGCATGACACGGGAGATGGGGGGAGCTTATGTGACTGATATTTTAAAATTAAAAATGAATTAAGAAAAATTGCAAAGTAAGTCTATACTTGCCTAGCTGTCAAAAATAAATTCATATTAATTTCCCTTAGAGTGTTTTAGTGCCTATGGTGTGAAGCCCACTGAAAACACAGTATCAGGATGAATACTATGTGGTAAGAAGAAGAAAAACTTCTAAAGTTGCTTTTTTTAACCCTTCAATCTAAAAATGTTAAATAAGTTTAGAATGTAGGGCTTTCCCAGAAAGATTAAGTCTACACCTTACTTTGTTATATTTATAGTAGTTATGCTCACTGAAACGTAAAAACACCCAGAATACTCAAAATGGAAAATTAAAAATAGAAGGGGGAAAAAAATCCATGTATTTGATACATATGTTTTCAGCTCAAAAAACTTTTTGTTGTTGTTGTTGTTTATCGAGACTTGACTGTAACAGTCCTGGCTGTCCTGCAACTCACTCTGTAGATCAGGCTGGCCTCGAACTCACAGAGATCTGCCTACCTCTGCCTCCCGAGTGCTGGGATTAAAGACATGCGTCCCCACCACGCAGCTAAAACAAAATAAAACAAACAATTAGCAACTCATTTCTTTTGAATATTTAATATAGAAATAACCAGGAAAATGAGGAATCCAAAAAAAAATAGTGACAGAATGGAAGTGATCATATCTCATGGTATTTATGTGTGAAATTCTCAATTTAAAAAAAAAAGGAAGAAAGAAAATTACAGAAAAAGGCTAATATTGTTGGAGACTTATACTCGGAGTCTAGACTTCTAGCTCAGAGTGTTTGGGGGATGGGAGAATGGAAGATTCATCCCAGGGCTTTGGGTGCTGGGCAGACAACTCTGCTGTGTCCCCAGCTAGCGTCCTGTCGGTTTGGATTCTTAGCTTCTGTAGGAAGCCAAGTACATACACCGTCCTGAATTTGAAGATGAATTAGTAAAATGACGCTAGCCAGCTGTGTCATCTTAATGGTATTTGATGGTGAATTCTCTCAATTCTGAAACTGATTATTTTGCAAGCCACAGTTCTTGATATAAGAAAAAAAAAGTGAAATAGTTTTCTGGTCTGGAATATATTCCACCAAATGAGTCAATCTTCTTACAAACAAACAAACAGAAATCCTTGTTTGGTTATGAGGTCAGAGTCCCTGACTCAGTGATGTTAGGGAGTGTGTTGCATGCACTGAGTTCCTAAGAGGGAAACTCACTAGTAAGGGATGACGAATAAGTAACTTCCTGACTCCTAGAATTCCATTGTCCTTGGATGAGCAAGAGCCCTGTAATGACCTTCCAATCTTGCCTTTCCTTAGGCCACAAAGGAATGGGTGTGTTGTCTTGTTCTCTTGACCTAAAAGGACTGGCTGTAGAAACCTCTACTACCAGCAAGGAGAAAGGGAGGAAAAAAAAAAAAAGAAAGTCAGGGTTAAGCATTAAACCAACAGCGAGTGTGCAGCTGGGAGAAGGTCACTCCGAGTAAATAATCAGCCCACATTCAACTGTACCTGGACTGAGCTGCCTTTCCATTGCCAAACACAAACCAGTAACTAGGCAACCGTGACTCGCACACTCTGAACACTTCACGGCGATGAAATGGCCAACCCCCACGTTTCCAGGAAATGGTCTTTTCAATCGCCGGGGACCAGGGTGAACACTCACACTGCACTCAGGTGCTCCTTAGCTTGTTGATGGGCAGTGTTTGAGAGATGTCACCGCCGGACAAACACAGATGTGCCTGAGAAGGAAGGGTTAAGGTGGGGAAAGTTGCCCGGTGAGCCCGTCTTTCCACGGAGTGACTCATGGGCAACGAAATCCTTTGCCTTTAGGGAGGGAAAATGGCACATTCCTAATTACTAACACAGCCTAGGATCCCAGCACATCACACCCCAGCTTAGTGGCTGAGAGAGGTTCTAGATCCAGATCGCCCGTCACTCTGCTGGGTTTCTGGGTTTGGCTTGTGGTTCCTCTGAGGTGGGTGAACAGTGACGGTGCCTCCCGCATGAAGTGGCTGTGCTTATTGAGGCCACTAGGTAGGAAGTACTGGGACCATCAAACAGCTCTTCTGTGTGCTCTGGGGAAGGGGTCGCTGATCCCCAGGGAGGCCCGACTGAATTAAGGAAGAAAGGCAAGGAGAGAAGATACCGATAAATGGGACCGTTCTCAACATGTTAAAATATGTGGAGGTTTTGAGGACTCTGATTACAAAATCAGTAACTACACACGTGGAAACTGTCTAAGGGTCTCATTCCATACTTTGGGATGATGAAAAAGCTCCATTAACATCGCACCATGAGAATGTGTTTGTGACTCCTAAGATTGCCCTAGCACACCGGAGGAAGAAATCATTTATACATTATGCGGCATCACACTATTTTTTTTAAGGATTTATGGTGAAAACTGTAAGGACACAAAGTAGCCACAGGAAGTCATGGGAAATTCTGGGAGCTTCTATCTGACAGACATGCAAATAAGCACACGTGTGACTGACTCAAGGTACTTAAGGGTTTTGGCAAAATGCAGCAGCCACTGTAGGTCCGGAGTGGAGGTGCTTGGCTGGAGGCCAGCGATGTTGCATTGTGACAAGACCTGGACTCTCTCAGCTTGGAACTGGTGGAAGAGAGAGCCCTGAGTAAGTAGTGAAGTGGGCCATTTTGTGGGCCTGTGGACGGGTCTGTAGGGTCATGGAGAAGGTGTGGAAGCCAGTGGCAGCACCTTTCCACCTGACCCCTTTAGAGGTCTGTCTGACTTCTTGAATTTTGCTTTTAGAGGGAGGTCAGTTGTTAGGGAATCCTGTGGGGTCAGTGTGACTCACCTCGGGTCAGGAGGTCAACTGGACCGGAAGGTGTTCTGTGTCTGCGGACCTGTGGGAGCAGTGACATTTAAAAGCAGAATGAGGAAGGGTTGGTGGTACTTCCTTCCCACTGAACTTGCTGCCTGGTTCTGTCAGGTCTGGGTGGGGCTGATAAGCCCAAAGTCCATCAAGGAACTGGCTTCCGGAACTGCCTCCACACCAGTCTTTATTAGTTAAATTAACCAGAAGCCTTGTTCAATGCCATAAGCCACCTTTGTGGGGTGACTTCTGCCGGGCTCCTAGCCATGGCGGGTGCCAACGTTCCGGGATAGGAACAGGAGGATTAGAATTGTTAGGCAAAAGGAACACAGATATGGGAGAAATAAGAGACAGAAACATAGGATAGTATCGGGAGGGACATCTAGTGAATACTGAAAGTAGCCTGCATTTGATTTCCATTTGCTTAAATACCCCGACCCTGAAAGGTAGGAGTAAGATAAACTACATTTACACCACACAAGGAATGAACAGACCAGTTGAAGGACTACAGGCTGCATTCTTACGAAAACATTCTGTTGCCAGAACAAGACAAGTGACACCCACACTCTAGACCCAAAGATTCTAAAGGCAAACCACTCCCTGCGTGGAATCCATAGCTATCTCCCTAAGGAAGTAGGAATCTACTTGGACCCTTAGACTTTTGTTGAGGTAGCAATAGATCTCTATCTCAATACCTGAAATACCAGGGCTGGATATTAGCCACACCTGTTGACAATGACCTTGAGAGAGCAGAACTCTCTGACCTGTTGTTTGAACTGTTGACAATCACCTCGAAGGAACAGAGAAGTTCCACCTCTCTGACCTTTAGTCAAGAGAGACTGGACCCATACCTGTGGGCTTGGTCAACTGTATGACGCAGGAGCACATACCTTTTTGTTCAGTTAATTATGAAGGCTTTTTTCTTTCTGTTTTGTTTTGAGACAGGGTCTCCTCTAGCCCAGGCTGGCCTTGAACTCCTCACCTTCTTGTCTCACTTCCCAAGTGCTAGAATTAGAGGCAGATGATTGAAAAGACAAATTAGCCAGAATCAGACAAATATCACACATTTTCTCACATGGATTCTAGGTTTTATATACATGAATACATAGGTGGATGTTATTTTGCTGATAAAGACATCTTTATATTGTGTTGCATATATGTGTGTACTCATGTATATAATATTTGTAATATTTTTGCATATAATATGCTACACAGATTTCTATTAACTACTACAGTATGTGGTTCAGGGACATGTGTGTTTTGTGTATATGTGCGCACGTGTGCATGAATGCTATATCTAGGTTAAAACTGGAGTGATATGCCATCCATAGGAAAAAAGGTCAACTATAGGATGGAAAATTATATTCTCATTTGATAAAGTATCTCCCGCTAAGCAGTAAGGCTGGTGGATGGACTTTGTAAATCAAGGGTTGTAGGTCAGCATCTGGGATTCATCTGAGTGATGGAACACATGCCTATTGTACATAGGCCGTGGGTTTGTTCCCCAGCTGTGGAAGGTTACTTGAAATATTTCATTTCCCAACTTTAAAATCTTGGTGTTACATTTCCTACATTCCTGTGCTCCATGTGTAGGGATCAGAGAACACGCAACAGGAGGCTGCTTTCTATGTGTCTTCGGGACCACGCGCAGGTTACTGAGCCTGGCAGCGGGTGCCTCCACTGCTGCGCCATCTTGTTTGCCTTGTTTTTAAGTACTTTAAAGCTTATTTTCCTTTGATGTGCATGCGTGTCTTGTCTGCATGCATGCGTGTGTTCTCAGTGTGGTGTGGTTCCTGCAGAAGAGGGTGCCAGATCCTCGGGAACTCGATGAATCCCTAAGCTGCTGTGTAGGTGCTGGGAACTGAGCATGGGTCCTGTGCTCTAAACCGCTGAGCTATTTCTCTCACCTCAATTTTAGAGTACTCTAGGAAAGGCTTTTTGACTATGAACTGTGTTAGACGTATTTTTGCTAATTAGCACTCTTTACTAGGACTGGATCTGTAGCCACATGATGCTCACTGGGCAGCACAATACTCACCCTTTGCTCCTTTGCTCCTTTGGGGTTGGCCTCTGAGGTCACCCACTACCTCTGCATTGCTGAACTTGCTTATCAACCATGGCTTGTTTGAGAAAGTTTCAGCTTTTAGCTTCTACTTAAAATAATTTTCTTTAGAATGAATAATCAACTTTTTGCTCCGATGAGCCTGAGTCACGAAGTCTTTATTAAAACCTTGCTTAAGTAGAGGTGTGGGGGGGCGGAGCAGGCTCTAGGAGGCAGAGGGATGGTTGAGGCCAGCCTGGGCAAGACCTGTTTCCCGAAGCAGCCACAACTAATAAAAACGCCTTATTTAATCAGATTCATCCCCCGTATGATAGGATATTCCACATCAGATCTCCCACAAGGCTTCCCCCACCCCTCCCAGCTCTATTCTATGACTACCTACGTAGTAATGAATGGAACTCAGTGGGTGGTTTTTTTTTCATGATTCATTTCTCTATTCCTGTGACTTCTTCTGTCTGATTACCTGAAGAATACTGAAAGAAGGCAAATCATGTTTTAAATTGATAGGAATTTATCACTTAGTATCTTCCCCTCTTTAGGGTAGGGCCGGAGAAACTCAAGAGCTGGGGGGATTGTTCTATTAAAGTGCAAAGTCTGAGCTGGAAACACAGGATTCTACTGCGCTACCCTGAAATAGGCCTATTTTCTTTACTTCTGAGTGTAGTAAGAGGATAGAGTGCTGGGTGAACTTTTGTTTATATTTGATGAAGGAAGAGAGGAACTCCGTGTTAGGATGGCTGTTTAATTTTTATTAGACATATTAATTAGGGTAGTCAAAGGGGGACTTTTGTTTGATGAGCTTCAATACTTTGATAGCTGGACCGTGGTAGTCAACCTTAGGGAAAGTGGTCAAATAAGGGACTAGACCTTGGTGGCTAGCTTTAGGGATGTAATCTCACAGTTAGTATGGTAGAGGGGACGGGGGAAGGGCAAGGTCTGCCCGAGCCTTTTTGCCATGCTCGAGTTGGCTGGAACCCCTCACACACATTCCAGCCTAGTTTTGTTAAACTAAAGTCATTTAAGCAAAGGTGCAGTGACTTATGTCTGTAGTTTTAACTACTTGAGCAACTGAGATAGGTAGGAGGATTGCTTGGGGCCAGGAATGTGAGCTTGTCTTGGCAACATAGTGAGATTTCCTAATTAAAAAAAAAAAAGATTTGGTAGAGAGACTAGAACATATTATTAATAAATTTCAGGACCTAGAGAAATGCCTCGAGTTGATCTATAGATGCCTAGCTAGAGAGTGGATTAGAACATCTGCTGTGCGGCCCTAAAGACCTGAGCACAGGCCGCACCAGACACCAGGCCTTGGCTTGTGCACAGCCCTCACCCCAGCATTGGAAGGAAGCAGGGACAAGGTGTGCTGGGGCGTGCTGGCTGCTAGCCTAGCAGAACCATGTGAGTTTCAGGTTGGGGAGAGACCCTGCCTCCAAGAAATAAGACAGAATGAGACAGAATGCTAGAAAAGGACACAACACTTTCTTTGGGCTTCTATTAGCCTACACATAGGTATATGCAACACACACACACACACACAACGCCTCTGTGCTTAAAAATCTGTTACTTTAAAAAATGTTTATACAAAGTAATAATTTCCAGTTGGTTTTACATGACCACAATGGTGATAAAATCATTTAATGTGCACGTAGTATTTATAAACAAATAAAAATTTTAAAAGCCAAAAACTGGTTTTACAACGTAAATTAGACTTGTTAGCATAGGGAATTCTTTTGACTTCTGCCTCCTTCTCAATGCCTACACTTGTTGTAAATAGGGAGTCTTCAGAGTGCTCAACCAACATTTCCTCCAAACCTCACAGTTAGTCTTCAAATACAGATTCAGACTGTGAGTCAGGGAGAGATCTTCAGAGAGTCTGTGGGTGGCTGCCACCTCCTGAAAGCAAAAGTAGCCTTGAATTTGGGTTTTTTGTTTGGTTTTGCTGTGTGTGTGTGTGTTCAAGTGAAGCCTCTTTTGAATCGACGTGTAGCTGTTTTCCACATCATTTATTTATTTATTTAGGATATTTTTATGAATTACTTGCATTGAGAATGGCACATACGAAACAAATGAATTTGTGTTTAGATTTGGGTCTTATCTTCAGGATACCCTTTGTATGTCTGAAAGTGTTCCAAAAATTTCAAAAGAACAATAGAAAGTTGAAATACTTCTGGCCATCGTCTAAGCATTTCAGATAAGGTGTACTTCACCGCATTGGCAGATAATCTTTGAACCTTCGTTCCACCTGTAGGACACCTGGGGTTTTGTTTGTTTGTCGTGGTATTTTTGAAACAGGGCTTCCTGTGTCCGTAACCTGGGGTTGGCCTCAAACTCAGCATCTTCCTACCTCATCCTCCTGAGGGCTGGGATTCTACATCTGCTGCGTCACGTCCTGCTGGGCCATTTCTAACATAGCCATATGACGATAACGCGTAGGCATCTGAGCCAGAAGTCATGCTAAAGAATGGTGACCCCGTCACTGAACCGTGACCACCACGCCCAATGGGAGGGTTAGTCACCAGCTGTCACCAGCTGTAACCAGCTGTAACCAGCTGTAACCAGCTGTAACCAGCTGTAACCAGCGATTTCAAGTGGGGACACTAAGGAGAGGTGGACCTTCTTGAAGTCTCCCCAAGCTACTTGTGCTGTGCTTCGGGGTCTGAGAACATTCCTTATGGGGTGTAATGGAGATGTTTCTTGGAGGTTGTGGCCTCTGTCTGCCGAGACCTGAGGCAGGACGGGGCAGTGTGCAAGGAAGAAAGCCTGGTAAGAGGGGACCATGCTAGTGAGGTGAGCAGAAAAACTGAGGAAATATGGCAGGGAGAATAGCATTTAGGGAAAAGGAAAAAAAAAATTAAATCTTAAAATCAAAGACTGGAAAGGAAGGTGGAGGTCAGATCATGAAGAGCCTTGTGCACAATTCTAGGAAATGCTGGAAGTTCAGAAAAAAACCATTATCCTCCCAAGAAACAGGCTTGGGGAAAACCATGACCGGCCTGGGGGTTATTATTGAGGACGTGATGTCCGCTCCGGTGAGATTAGCATAGATACAAGCTTCCAATTGGCTTAAGAGATTGCTTCA